ATATTGAGTTTTGCTTATTAAATTGACCAAAATCTTTACTGCAATGTGCAGCTTCTGGATGAGATGATTGACAATGGCTTCCCTCTCACTACAGAACCTAATATTCTGAGAGAGATGATTGCTCCACCAAATATAGTTAACAAGATGTTGAGTGTTGTGACAGGCAACAGTTCCAACATGAGTGAAACACTTCCAGGTGCAACATCATCTTGCATTCCATGGAGAACAGCAGACCCGAAATATGCTAACAATGAAGTTTATGTTGATCTTGTTGAAGAAATGGATGCAATTGTAAACAGGTCAATCTTTTTTTTTTTTAATGCTTTGATAAGATATCTCCATCCTTTTCTTTTTTGGTATGGATTAAAGATTAAAAAAAAAAAAAAAAAAAAAAAAAAAAAAAAAAAAAAAAAAATATATAAAAAAAAAAAAAAAAAAAAAAAAAATAAAATGGGCCAAGGCGCTAGGCTCCCGCCTAGGCGGCCTGGTTTTTTGTGTTTTTTTTTCCCTGACTTTAAAGAAAACACGCTGCCTCCTCTGAGTCGGGTACTCATTTTCTCTCTCTCTCAGACCACCACCACCAGGCTTCCACCCGCGACGACCACCACCAGGCCGCGACCCTCTTAAAGAATTACCCTCGAACTCCGTAAAGAATTTGGGTTGTCCTCTTCGGCCGAAACAAGTGCATTTGCTGATGTGGTGGGCAAGCTTGTCTTAAAGTGAAACAAAATGTGAAGAATCAAGACAGGTTTAATTCCAAATTCCATTTTTCAATTGAGATTGTTTACAGTAAATCTCCTAACCTCATAGAATAAGAAACTTATTTCAAAAGAATTTCTTTACCAGCCTGAGAAAGAAACTTTTCTTTACCAGACGATGCTAACAGACCGAAATAATTCCTTCTTAACCCTACCAGCCAAAGTAGGCAGAAATAAATAAAAAAGGCATCTATATCCATATCTATAATTTCCTAAAAAAGTATCTATAGAAATTTAAAAATAAAATAAAATCTATATCTATATAAAGGCACAGGCACAGGCAAACCCTAAAAAAGATTTGTCTTCTCTTCTCTCAACCCATTGCTCCCTCGCTCGTTCCAAGAAAGAAACAATGAGTAAAGAGTCGATGCGAGTCGTTTTAGAGATTATCGACACTGTGATGAAAAAAAGGGATGCTATGTCTGGCACGACTGATACTGTATGCATGCATTTCTCTCTCTCTCGCTTTCCTTTATGATTGTTGTTGGTTTTTTTATAAAAAAAATTCTATCCAATTTGCCATTCAATTACCTCCCCTTATGTCAAATCTCAAGATAGAGGAGAAAACGGACGACCCTCCTAGACGACGGCAGGATGAGAAGGAGGGAGTGTTGGTTTTTGGTATATTAAAAAAAACGTTTATGCAGAAGAGAGAAGAAAAACCAGAGAGAATGAGAAAATGTTATGTATTTTTCTATATTCAGGTCTGAGCAAAAACCTGCTCTCATATACATGACATAAGGTGCCAAAATCAGGATCCTAAATTTTAGGATACAAGGACTCATCTCCTACCATTCATAATGATTGGAGGCTATGATTCTTACAA